ATCTTCATAGGGCCTAAGATTTTGCCCTGGGGCTCCCAAATATAAACTAGCAATCATCTGGAAGTGGGGCACAGTTTTTAAAAAAATACAGCTTTGTGCAGGGAAAATAAAGATTGTGATTCAGCAAGTTTGGGACAGGGAACACAAGAACTCTCTCTTTTTTTTATAGATTCCATGGTATTGAATTATTTGGAGGGTATGGAGGCCTTTGCTAATATAATAGAAGTTTTGGGCTTTCCCCCACAAAAAGATGCAATCACATAAGGATGGAAGACAACTCCACATGGTTCTCAAAGTCATGGGCAGGAATCCTGGACCAGGCAAAATAAGCAGCTGGCTGTTTTCCTCTCCTGACTAGCATTTCCTTATCTCATCTCTCCTCAGGTGCTGCTGACAGAACTGACATCTCCTGGAGCTTGTTAGAAATGCTGGATCCCAGCCCCCACAGCCCCTGGAGAAGAGTCAGAACCTATGTTTCATCAAGTTGCCAATGGGATGTGCAAACACCTTAAAATGTGTGGTTGCTATAAGTTTGCTTCAAAATGTGCCCTTCTTCTTCCCAGTAATCACTCATGCTCAAAATCTAAACCCTTGACCTCCTCAAATGTCGCTGGTCCGCTCACCTGAGATTCTCATGACCTGTATCTCTCTGGCTGATGCAGTCATTCCATATGTCCCCCCAGCTCCCCTCCAGTGAGGGAGGCAGGAGGTGAGGAGGCCCACATGGCAGGGCTGGTGGGAGATGCCCATGAGAGCTGACTACAGGGTGAGGTGCTGAGGCCCTGGCCCGATTCTAGAGTTGCCAGCATCTAACCCTCAGCTTAAGGATTGGATGTTAAGCATTCAATGAGAGGTTGTGAAGACAATATTTCTGCCCCCCCCCAGTTGCTCATCACAGTGTCGTTTTTCCTAAGAACCCCCTCCTCACACTACAGCTACCTCAAGTCCAGCACCTTCACAGGGAGTCTTCAAATGTGCTTATGGTTCCCTTGGCCCTTCACACACCAGGCACTGAGGATATTTAGTGAAATGCAGGCCTCAGCTAAGGGCAGCAGCATCTCCCCCACTGTATGGCCCAGAAACACCCCACTATGGCTGACACCGCTATTAGCTGAACAGCTCACTTTGCCTCTGCCCCCTCAGCATAGCAACCCTTACCCTTGGGTTCCGGTGCTGCTCACCAGCACCAGTCCAGAACACAGTCTAAATGATGAGCCCCTGAGGGGACAGAGAACATGCCCTCTCCCCATCCAAGCCAAGCCACTACCAGTAAAACTTTCCTTTCTCCTCTCTTGGGCTCAGCTCGTCACTGCCACTGCCTTCCCCACCAATGTCCCTGGGACCAAGGCAGGGCCACAGGAGAAGCCTACATGCTAGAAGCATAGGGGCCGGGCACTGCTTGGGGTTCCTCCAAAGCTGAGTCCTACTCCCCATGGAGACCTACTTTGGCATCTCTTCTGGAGAGCAAACACCATATGTGGCTTCCTTCCCCTCCCTCCCGGTCCTGTGGCTGGTGCTCAGTATGGGCAGATGCTGACTGCCTGGATGTTAAGATTAGCAGATGAGACTCTAGGTACAAAAAGGAGAGCCCAGAGATGGACAAAGCAGCACAAATATGCCGTTAGTCTCCTGTGTCACCTTGGGCCTGTCACTGCCTTTTTCTCAGCCTCAGTTTTCCTATAAAAAAAAAAGAAGTTGATCTCCTCTAAGCCCCAGCTCTGTCTGACATTCTGTGAAAGAATAATGAAAGATCTTGGTCCCTGAAAGAAAAAGATTGAAAAGATTATAGAACGGAGGGTTGAGGAATGTAGACCCAGGGTCACCTGGAGCAAGAGCTCACCTGGGGGAAGGAGAAGAGAGAAGTGGGAGAGGGCTCCCTGGGGTAGCTAGAAAGGGCTGGGCAGGTGCAGAGCCCACTGATTCTCACTCAAAGGCCTGAAGGGAGCAGGTAGAGGACTGCATGCCACACTGGGGGCAGGTGGGTGCAAAGGAAGTGATGGAGAGGTGGAGACAAGCAGAAGTGGTGCAGGCAAAGCCTCAGGAACTGGCTTCTGATCTTTTTAGAAAGCTCACTTTTACTTCCCTTTTCCTTCACCCTTGACACCGAGTGGGAGTCTGCAGAGATGACCAAGGTACATGTGGAGGACCCTGGCTGTGGGGTCAGCCCCCTGACAGGAAGGAAAGAGGATTATTCACAGAGAGGAACTTTTCCATTCCTCATCTATGTGTCAATGGGGAGGCGACCCAGGGGAACTGGGGATTCTAGGGGGAATCAAAACATGGATCACATCTCCCCCAGTGTCCCCTCTCTGGCCTTTCCCTTGGACCCAACTCAACTCAGGCTTGTGCTGAGACATTCCCAGCACACTCCCCAGTGAGAGCTGTTGGGCTCCAGGCCCAGCATCTGGAATGTGGACTCCAGCCAACTTCATTCTTTTCCACAGCTCAGGGAACTTCCAAAGCTGCCTAAGAGAGGGAATTTCCATTCTTTTCTCCCACCCTATCACTGACCTACCAGTTGGGAGGTATGTTACTCCACACAGCAAAAGTGAGAGGGGGCAGACAATCACTTTCCACGAAACTTTCTTTCATGATTCACACTCTTTCACCGCCCTCATGCTTGCTGTCTGAAGCTTGTCATGGCTAAGTCACTAATCAAAGGTGATAACCCCACCCTTAGTGGAGACAGAGAAGTCTATATAAGTACTCAGCAAAGCCAGGGGTCTTTCTCTGTGACCCTGGGCCAGCTGGTCTCAGACTCTGGAATATGACTCCCTCACACAGGAAGAAGAGTAGACTCACAATCTGTCTAGGTCTTTTGCATCCAGAATACTAGGAGTGATAGTGATAATTTGAAAATCTTGGCATCTTTCAACCTGTTGACCTAGACAAGATCCAAGGAATGACTGAATTCCATGGGGAAATGGGATGAGTCCTACAAGTCTGCGAAAAAATGACATTTTAGTAAGTCAGAGAGGGGTTTCCATTCATATGAAGGAAAACTTCTTGGAAGTAATGTGAAATGATCTGGAAAGGAATGACTGTAGGAAATTGCAGTCTCCATCCTGGGAATGTTTTATTCATGCTGTAGTAATGGAGTTGGCTCAGTCACACTAGTAAGGGACTGAGCCACATGCACAGGGGCTTCAACAGTGGTAAGAGGAAAAGGGTAGCTAGCAGGAGTCAGGCAGAATGAAAATGTAGCTCTGAGAGAGGCACAAGCAAAGCAGTGTACAAGAGAATTTGTTCTCTCTTCTTTCTTTTATTTCCCCCAAGAGTAGAATTCCACCCACTCTCTGCTTTCAGATTCTCTAGAAAACAGACAGCTCTCATGAGACATTAAGCCTGGTACCCAGGAGCAGGGATTCTGAAATCAGAATATCCTAGCGGAAATCTTGGTCCCACCTGTGAGATCAGGAACGAGTAACTGAACTTCACTTCTACCCAAGAAAGATGAAGCTGTTCAGAGGACTGGGAAGCACTCCAGCACCATCCCTGGCTCCTGGTGAGCTGTCAGTAATGCCACTGCTAACCACATACTGAGGACCAAATGCAGTCATTTGTTTAACACAACCATTTCCTATAGCACTGGTAGTGATTGGCAAGAAGTTCCATGCATTTATACATATTATCTCAATGACTATAACAGAAGAATCCTAACTCCATCCTTTCTCTTTTGGGCAAAGCTCGGAAGGATGAAGGAGTGGATTGGAGGAGTCAAGAGACCTGACCTGGAACCACTGATATGCCTCAGGGACTCCTAGCATATTTACAAAACAAAAATGTTCCCTGAAATGGATGCTAAGTTCTTTACATTTTTATTATATGATCACATGGTTTCTAAGGAAATTGAAGGTGCAACTGAAGAATGAAGCCAGGCATTCCAATTCCCAAAATTAGGTTCTTCCGCTCACTCACGTTCCCTAGAGATCAAGGAAGGAGCCAGGAGGACCGCCCCCCGATGGAGAAGGGCCTTCTTGCCCACTCTTGTCTGCTGGGCTAACCACAGTGTCTCAGCTCATGCAATTTAACCACAAGGAATGCTTCTTGATGCTCCTATAGCTGTCTGCTGGTCTGGAAGATGCTGAGCACAGAGCGAGGAGCCAGATACATAGCCAGGGAGCCAGGTGAATGGCCACTGTCATTGTGATAGCAGAACTGTGTCACTGTGGTGGCAGTAGAGACCCTGAGGCTGAGCTTCCTGCATTCCATTTCGGGAGGGTTTGGGGCAGATGACACATATAACCCTCATTGCCTGAACAATATAATTGGAATGAACAATACCTGCTATCTGCTGCAATTTTAAGCCAACATTTGCAAAAGTCTTAGAATATTCCTGGCACAGAGCAAGCACTGGATGAACAGTACATGAAAACTTCTTCAGTGGCAGGACTTGGTTTGTATATTTTCTTCTAAGTCCAAAATGTCACAACTTAGAAATCCATTCAGTGTTCACAAAATCTTGCAGTCCTTCAAGAAATCATGGTGTTTTCACTTAGCATTCTAAACAGAAAATGGATGTAATACACTGTCAGGGAGCCCACCAACGCTTCAGAGGCTATTCTTGGCTCAAAGAGTCCTTGGGCTGTGGCCTAAAGGGGGACAGGGGCAAGCCCTGACATGCCTGGCAAGCCCCTTGAGACTTCAGTTTATTTGATTTCTTCCTATTCTGTGACATCAGTTTCCTTCCTTTTAATGAAGAAAATGAAAAATCCTTAAAAACAACCCACCAGTTTCATATCTGTGGGCAGACTGGGCATACAGCCACCGCCCATCCCGAAGGGCCGCTAGCTCCTTTGGTCTCCAGAGTGAATGAAAAAAAGTGACAAGTTCTGGCGCAAAGCCTCCCTCTTCTACTTCCTGGAAACCTTGCAGAATACTGCACTTGCTCAGCAGATTCAAGATTCCACTGCGTTATTCATTCATCGTGATACTGCCATAAACCAAGCCCTCTTGCCTGACTCCACCCTCATAGATTTCAATAAAAGGCAGAGACAGAGCCACCAGAAGAGCAGAGAAGCTGGGACCAGCTCAGAAACCTCCGACTCTCAAACTGAAGCTGGTGCTCCCACCCTCCACCATGCAGGTCTCCTCGGTCATTCTGGGCCTGCTGCTCACAGCAGCCACCTTCAGCACCCTCCTGCTGGCTCAGCCAGGTAAGGCCCTGCCTCCTTCCCCCTGCAGCGCATCACCCAGCTCTGGGTCCCCACGGGCCAGCACAGCACATGGGTGCACTCATCTCACCTTAGCAGCTGCTCTTCCAACATGAGGCAGCTCACCTGAGGACCAGGAGAGAGCCTGCTCACACTGCCACCCAAGGGCAAAGAGCTGCAATTCCAGCTGTGGACCCCAAATCCAGCTGCTTGCAGGGTTCCAGCTGTGGAAACACAGCATCAAGAAGCTACTGTTGCAGCAGCTTTCAGCAGTGCTTGGGGGCCAGGGTGACCAAAGAGAGAGGCATCTGGTAGCAGGGTATTTCCAGATACGGGGAGGAGGGAGGAGACCCAGACTCTAGTCTGTGCCTCACTGAGCCCAGCTTCCAGAGCCAATGGCTCAGCAGATGCTTTAGGTATCAGGGACACTCCAGACGAGGCATGGATTTTTGGAGTTGAAAAGGAGGCCCACAGCAAGGATTCCTGGCTGACCTTTGGCCCTAGTAATCTGAATTAGTAGCCTCTTCTAATAACGTTCCCCTGAATTACCTAGTTTTAACAGCTCCCCTACCCTCTGTTTATTGCCAGCATTGCATGCACATTTTATAGAATGGCAAAATGAATCAATGCATCAAAGATCTTCTACCTTTCATGAAATACTAGGGTTTCACAGGTTCTACCTCTACCCATGCTGTCTCTTCACTTTCTTCTCATGAGTCTTTTCTGTTCTGAGATCAGAAACATCGAACCATCCTAAAACCCTTTTCCTTTGTGACTTCTTTTCCAGATGGAGTTAACGCCCCAGTCTGCTGCTATACATTTAACAAAAAGATCCCACTGAAGAGAGTGATGAGCTATGAAAGAATCACCAGCAGCAGGTGTCCCCAAGAAGCTGTGATGTGAGTGGAGCACCCCAGCCCTCCCATCCAAAGTTGTTCCTTGGGGGGCAAAGAGATCATCCCCACAAACTTGGAGTCAGAGTCACATCCTCAAACCCAGTGCCCAAGGATTCCCCAAAACTGAGGCAAAGAACGAAAGGTTGACTCCCAACATCATTCTCCATTTGGGTTTACATTCATGCCCTCCCCATCTCCTCAGCCTGAAGTCAGGATGGCTTCAGCTGGGAAACTAGTGGAGCAGCTTCTCCATATTCCCTCCTTCCACCTGCCTCCTCCTTCACCTCCCATGGCAGCCCGTTGGAGCAGAGTAGGCTGTGGCCCTGCACTCAGACTGCAGAGGTTTAACTCTGTCTTCTCTCTCCCACAGCTTCAAGACTGTGATGAACAGGGAGATCTGTGCTGACCCCAAACAGAGCTGGGTCGAGGACTACATTGCCAGACTGGACCAGAAAACCCAGCAGAAACAGAATTCAACTGCCCTGAAAACTTCAGTGCCTTTGAACATCAGCCTCACAACCCCAGACCCCAAGAACCTTAGCTAATTAGTCTACTACTGTATTTCCTCAATAATTTTTAATGTTAGTATGAACTTTATTGATGTGAAATATTATGTGTTAAAGAATATTAATCTTATTTAACTTATTGATGTTATAATTTTATCTTCCGTGAGCTGCAGCATTTTTAGAGTTGGGAACATAGTTTTCTTTCTGTGAAGCCCGATTCTGTACCTAGGATGTCATTAAGGTCTTTGAAAGGATCTTGAATGAATATATATTTGTTTTAAATTTCAAAACACTTTTAAAATATTATTGTGAAAATAAATATTATATAACTATTGAATAAAAATGTATATTTTTGTACAAAACCTGTCTTTTGGTGTTTGCTGGTAAGGAACCACAAAACTGATATTATGAATGATATAGGAGAAATCTAACTCCCAACTTAGTAGATATCAGATGTCCTGAGTTTGTGTCCACTGAAATTGAACAATGAGTTCCAAGTGACAGTGGAGGCTAAAAATCAGAAAAGTTTATTGATAGATAGCTCCTGAGAGACAGGGGGATCCTGAAAGTGGATTGCCACTGAGATTTTTTTCAAAGGGAATTTATACAGCATAGTTACCATGTGGGTACAGTGTGGGGCAAACTACAATCAACCTATAAGTACATTCATTTAGCTTATATTGATCCAGTTGGGAAGTGAGTCACAAGGCAAAGGTATGTGCAAAAAGAAAAGGTATTCTTGGAAAGTGATGGGTTTAGGTGCTCCAGTCACCCAGGCTGGTGACTGATGCATATGTGGACTTACTGCATCATGTGCTGTAGTTACAATAGGATTTCAAGTTATTGTCAGTCCTTTAGGAAGGTATGAAAGCCTGCCCATTGTATCTTTATCATGAGGCCAGGCCTTTTTGAGATGCGCCTCCAGCCACAATTTTGATGTCTTTATTTTTCCTTGATTTCCTAGAGAGTCTAATTCCTCTCTCACTGTATAATAATTTCTGTCTAACTTAACTGCCTATATTTCCCCCTCTGAGGAGCTATCCCTAATTGTGGTTAGGGGAGAATGGGCATAGTTTCAATCTAGCTGCTTCAAGCTGAGAAGGGTCAGTGTAGGGGCCTGCTCCAGGGAGCTAATCTACCAGGCAATGGATATGAACTCCCTTTACAAGAGCAAGCTGGTGAGTGTCCATAAAAGGAGCGTGGTACATTTGTCATGGATTTTATCTGCATGATCACTTGGAGTTTGGCAGCCTCTAGGCAAGAATAAACAACTTTAAACAAGAGATTAAAGCACATACAACCCAACCATAAGCATTAGAATGGAAAGGCAGCTTGGGGTAAGGAGCCACATCAGAACTACTCTTAAGGGGCTGGAATAACAACTGTAACCAGCTGTCTCCTAGACCTATCTCCTGATGAAGTTTATCTATAAATACAATAATTCTTTTAAGGTTTTTTTCATCTGATCTGAATAATTTATCTAAAGAGAACAAATTTCCTTTATTAGTGCCCAAATCCCTACACTTTTTGCTGTAAGAAGATGGAGAGTCTGGTCGTTTTGAAGGACAATTTTAGCTATGGAATTTAAGGACTCTTGCTGAGTGCCTATAGTTGCCACTGTAACTTTCTAGACTCATTAAAACCTAACAGTGGTGGCTACTAGTTTAGCTGGAAACTTCTAGCAGGAAGTCAATGATTGGAGCCCCATTTTTATATCTAGTTTTATTACTATGGTATTATTTTTCATACATCTTTTGCTTGTAGTTTTCTGAGGAGTGTTTCAGATCAAGTAAAATTTGGACCTGTGTTAAGTTCACCTCTTCCTATATATTACATCATTTAAAGCTCTTTAGAGGCTACTTTGGGAACCAAGTGAAGAGCCTCTTGGCTCCTCTGTCAGTTTTAGCCTCCAGGATATGTCATGATCTTGCTTCACCATGTGATTTCCCATGTGAGCATGGGAGATATTTCTTTCTTTGAGACCCACCTTTTTAGTACACTGGGCCCTCTAAGGACCAACAGTTTGGCTGCTCAGGAAGGTGGTTGATTCTCCAAAGTTGTAGAATCCTGTAGAAAATATCCTCTCATGTTCTGAGTCCTTGTTGATCTTGGAAAACTAGGGCCAAAAAATATTGGGTGTCTTCTTAGCCCAGTTATCTCTCTAGCTCTCATCTCCAAACTTCAGTTGTTGAATACCCAGTTACACCTTAATTTTATGGTCTTATCTAGATAACAAGCACCTTGAAATATATAGTATGATCCATGAGCCATTATTTCTTTACCAGTCATGGCTAGAAGTTGAATCCCTGCAGAATGTTAACAGATAACAATTATAATGTTTTACAGAGAAGTCTTGAGATCAAGGGCAGCATATCATTCTAACATAACCATCATGATGACATTATTATATTAGAACTAATTAGGTTTTCTTATTATCTCTGAAACACACTTAATTGTTCATCTTAGTGTAGAATAACGTTTTATCAATTATCTTTATCTAATTATAAGATACTAAATGGCATTAACTTCTACCTAAATTTGTTATCTTTCAATAGATTTCTATTTAAGACGAATGTACTTGTCTATAGATGTACTTTAAGGGTTATTAATGTCTAACGACAGTGACATTGCCTGAACTGCACAATGTTTAAATATCTCAGGTCTTATAGCAAACACATAATTACATGTAACAATCACATAAGCATAAGCCTTGAAAAAGTATCAATATCATCTGCTTGACTGATATTGGATGGCATGCAAATTTCATCACAAAAATTCAGAACACCAGTAAGGGAAAGCCAGATGCTTGAGCCTAAAAATATTTACCATCATAAACAGCTTTAGCTGGAAGTCACAAGGGTGATAAGATGTTTTTTCAGTTTTTTTTCCTTTGAAGGTGTGCATCTGAGAAACACAACTATACAATGTTATATATCATGAAGTTAGCAATAATTGGTATCACAACTACACAGAAAACTTTACATCTTTAGTTTTTACTCTTAAGACAAATTTTGGACTCCTTTAATGGGTTTTATATGGTTTAACTATATTGACAGGAGTTAAGGATATCTTTACAACTCTGATAAATTTAGAAAACAGTGTTCATGACGACAGATAGACTTATTACCCAATATACAAGTATATCTCACTTATACAATAATAGAAATGCTTCTTTAATCAAAGCCAACAGATGTAGATCAAATTTAAATTTCAGAACCAAATTTAAAGAGATATCAAACTTTGATTATTTTATGTTTAAGGTCTAAACATACATTGTATAAAAGAGAGCACCTATTAGTTACTTTAAGTATGTAGTTGTAACTTTATAATCTTAACTTTAAAGCTTAGGCTCATAGCATAGCTTGTTTTTAGATATATACATACATACATAGTTCACAGAAAAGGTTTGCATTAATATAAATTGGAGAATTTTTTATGTCCATATCTTGTACTCTTAGTAACTACTTTAAAGATAATAATGTGCAATGTATTAACTATTGTTATTTTTTCTATCATCTTGTTAAGAAATTTTATTTTACCTTTTTTCCATAAAATAAAGAAGAAACAGACTCTTTAACTTTTAAAGCTCACTCTTTAATAACTGAAAAACATAATGATGAGAACATAAGAACCTCATTTTAGTAAAGTACAGAACCTTTGCTTTTAAATCTAGTTTTACAAGTTTAACCAAGAGCATCTGAATATTTTAGAAAACTGTATTGTTTTAGACATACATGCTTAACTTTTTAACTATAGCCAAAACAATTATTTTAGATGACTCATCATAACAGGTAACACTTTTAAAAGTCTGATATATTTTACCAAGGAAAAGTCTTAAGTTATAGTACCCAGGCAATAATAGACATTGCACTTATAAGACTGACTTTTTATATTGTCTTGGTTACCTAACAACCTGTATAGAAATATGTTACCAAATTTAAAGACACCATTACTCTAAGTGATTTAAATTAACCTACTGTTAAACTCTATGAACCACAAACATTTGAGATAATGTTTTGAGTGTTAATCTATAAACCAACTTAAGTAGAACTTTTGGAGGATAACATATACTTAAAAGTTAACAGACATATTAACCTAAATCATATGTAACTTTTATGTTATCAGACTTTAAGTCTTTTATTCCTGTATAAGTCTCAATTCTGTCCATCTTTATCTGGTGATGTTTTAAATGAATTTGGCTACCTTGAAGCCCTACAAAATAATTTTCCAAGAAAACCTCAAAAAGAGCTAGGAAAAAAAAAGGAAGAAGAAATTGTTGAGCTAAAAAATACATTTTTCTTAAATGAAAGAAAAATACTTTAACTGATTATTTATACACGTTAAACAGAAAGGTGAATAAACATAAGATTTTGGTGTTATTGAGAGACATTGACAGATATTTTTTAAAAAAGCCTTTATTGCTGGTGCAGGAGGGTTGCAGGAGATTGCAAGGACCCTTGGAGGAGAGAGTGGGGAATGGGGTTTTATTGAAGTGGGCTAGGGATGGAGTTAATATGGACAGGCAAGATGTCCCATCTCTAGAGGGTCTGGGGGATTTGAGGCACATGCGGGCAAAAAAAGGGAGCAAGAAATTTATTTTTGGGGTCTGAAGAAGAACAAAGAAATGTGTCCTGCCCAGCGCCATTTTTGGGATTCTAGGTATCTATCATAAAAACATAAAACAATTATTTTTAAATCATAGTATACTCTCAGATATACTGGTCAAGTCGATCTACAACTCTTTTACAGATTGTTAGGTTTGTATCTATAAAATAACCAGCACAAAATTTTTTTATAGGTCATCAATTAGCAGAGATATCTTGCAGTTTAAAAAAAAAAAGGAATCAGAGGGGAAAAAACCCTTTTACAACTGTGAAAGCAAATACTTTAAGACGGGACCTAGGTTAAGGGTTTATCCTATTGCAATAGCTATCTATAAAGGCCTCTTGTTGTTTTCATAGCCAAGGTTATTTGATAGCCACAGCTCATGGTGAAAAACTGCTGTTCGGATAGCCAGATGTAACTGTTCCCTCTAAATAGATGGACTGTTTTGGTAACTTAGGATTTTATTTTCAGTGAGTGCTCAGGCCACGTTTGGGTATAGAAAGAGATTAGATGACACTCTGGAGCTAAGTATGTATTCCAAAGGGTGAGGACAAAGGGCCTGTCAAAGTCCTAATCTGTCCTGCTGCAGATGCCTACCCATGACAGCTTCTTCTTGTTTTGAAAAGAAGCAAGTGGAGAGAAGGCATCCCTGTCACTCTGTGCCCAATCTAAGGTATCCCTGAAACCAATGATGGTGAATCTCTAGAGCTGTAAATGATA